GATGCAAGGTCGATCTCCTCCAGAGAATACTTTCACGCTGGGATCCTCTGCCCTACCTTCCTAAGAGTAACTCCCATTCAACTCAGCTTGGCTTCCTTCTCGATGCACTGCGCTGTTAATTTGTACCAAAGGTAGGAGAACGAAGTGAACTGAGATATTTTAATACTCCCCCCCCCGCCCTTTAGTTTTGCAGCACAGAGTGAACACGAAAAATAAGAGTTGCAACGTGGGGTGTGTGTGGAGCTGGTGGTCTTGCCGCAGCCCCCCCATCCCTCCAACATTTAAATAGATATTTTGGGCCTCTCTATACACCCTAATCTCTCAAACTGTCATCGCGACTTCGGATCCGATACACCAGCCCCCAAAAACCCTCCCAGGACAAGAATTTTAATTGACTCGGATGTTGCTGCTTCCATTTTCTTGCGAGATAAAGAGAATTCCACACTCTGGGAGAAGCCGAGGGAGGAGAGAGATTTGGGCGACCTTCTTCCACCCAATCGGCGGGCGGGGGGCGAGCCCTGCTTTCCCCTCCAGGAAGGGCTTGCAAATGGTCGACCATTAAGCAGGGCGCGGAGGGAGGGCCGAGGGCCAGAGATCGCGGTGGAGGCGGGCAGGGACGCGTCCTAAGCCAGAGCCCTAGACGTGGCAATTAGTCGCAGATAAGTGCGAGTAGTCCGGTTTAAGAGCGCCTGTAGCTCCGCGCGCCGCCAGGTTCAGGCGTTGCCTGCCCAAGGCAAGCGCCCCTCGGGCAGATAAGCCGGAGGGAATCGGCCTGTTTAGAATTGGAACAAGGGGGGGGGACACACACCAGAAGGTGGGAACATGGGCGTTGCCACGAGGGTGCAGCTGCCTCCCCCATCAAGTAAATAAATAAAAATACTTAACTAGCAGACAAATTGCGTCGCAGATAACCCCCAATAAATCACAGGTATGCCCATGGGTGGGAAGGAGCTCCGTAAAGCTCCCGAAAGAAGGATCGATTTCGTCGTACAAGGAGGTCGTGGATGTAAAATAGCAGGCACCCCGCCAGAAAAGCACGCTGTGCTATTAGGACACGAGAAACAACCAATAATATTGTTGATCTTTAAGCTCCTCCATTAAATTTAGCTGTTCTTCTCCTTGTCCCCAAGTACGCTTTGTGCGCGCTGTTTCGTTTTTTGAAAACAATACAACGAATGCCCTCTCTAATCACGCGGAATTCAGTCAGCATGAGGACTAGAAACTAAACCTACTGCTTCGAGAAACAGCAGAGGGCAACTGAAAACCTCATATTGTCCCAGCTAGGCCCAGGTCAAGGCATGGCTTTGAGCCGCGTAAAACTGCGTCGGGTGTGGGCCGGAGTGGCCAGGTCCCACCGAAGCCAAGTGGTAGCCCACTTAGAAATACGATCGAGGCGAGAAGAAGGGCGGGTACAGCGAAGTGGGCTTGCCCTCTTTTGCTCGGCGAGACAGGACTGGGACCAAGGAGCGGCGTTTTCAAGGAAGGAGGCTTCCGTGAACCGTTAGGTATCCAACGTAGATATAGCCCTCCTTTCCTCCCCAAGGAGCTCAGGGCGGCGAATAACCCTACGGGATGCTTCTTAACCTGTTTGGCAACTACATGGACTTTTATGGGACAACAGGATGGGGGTGACGTGACAAACCAGGGGCCTTATTCCCAGCGCCACGCTCCGCTCTATCTAGGGATAGGGCAATGCTGTCACATAATGCTGGTCTGTTATAATTGGGGAGAACTTTCCTTTCTATTATACTGCCTCGTTTTTTCTCTCTCCAAACATTATGACCCTTTTGGAGCAGGCTGCCTGGGGAGGTAGAGACCTCCTTTTTTGCAAGACTGTTTTGCCTTATCATGAATCCGGCTGTTGTCGAGATCCCCTCAGTAGCAGCCGGACGAAAAGGGAGCGTGCGCACGATTCTGTATGTCTGGACACACACGTCCAGAAAGAAAGGAAGCAGGAGCCTACTCGACAGTGCCTTCGCTTGCATCCCGAGCTTTGATGGGGGGTAATTCCTTCTCTCGCGGAGACCATCATCTTCCCTTTATAGCCTTTTGTATCCGGTTTGTGTCCAGCAAACCGAAAGGTACACCCTAAACAGTGTTGGCACAGGAAGCCGCCTAACTCAGACCCTTCGTCTATTCTCCAGCTCAGTATTGTGCACATTAGCGGGCAGCAGTTCCTCGCCGTTTCATACAGGAGTCTTTTTTTCCTAGCCCTACCTGGAGATGCCGGGAATTGAATTTGTGGCCGCCTGCTTGCAAGGCAGGTGCCCCACAACCGACCTACGGCCCTTCCTTGACTTGGAAATAGGGTGCGCTTTATCAGATCCACTTCCTAATAAGGATGCAACCCTAAACCTATTCCGAAGCAAGCCCCACTAAACCCCACAGGGCTTGCTCCCAAGGAGGTGCATAGGAATACAGTGGTACCTCGGGTTACATACGCTTCAGGTTACAGACTCCGTTAACCCAGAAATAGTACCTCGGGTTAAGAACTTTTTTTCAGGATGAGAACAGAAATCACACGGCGGCAGCGGGAGGCCCCATTAGCTAAAGTGGTGCTTCAGGTTAAGTACAGTTTCAGGTTAAGAACGGACCTCCGGAACGAATTAAGTACTTAACCCGAGGTACCACTGTACAGCCTTACTAGGAATTTTTTTTTTTCACACTGGATTTGCAGTCTCTATGGAAAAACCGCAACAATCCCCTTATTTCAAAATTATTCTGCTGATCTCTTGCCGCGCGCGCGCCCACGCGCACGCCCACCCACACCCACACGAGATACTAGATTGTGGACACCAAAGTCGAGGGAGGGGGGAAGCATCGGACCGTGGGCACGGGAGGAAGAAATATCCGGCACAGCAAGACGCAGATGCGCTTCCACGCGCCGGTGCGGGCGCTGCAGACACGCTCCTCAAGATGCAACATCTGTCTCTGCAGAGACTCCAGGAGCTCTAATGGCAGGTGGCAGTTGTTGCTGGAAGACACACACCCCCGCTAGCTGGATCCTACCTAACACGGAGATAGTTTAACTGATAATTTAGTTCAAGGGACTTGCTCCCTAATTGGTGTGTCTTAAATAGGATCCACAGAGGCACCGTAGTTAAAGAAAAGGGGGGAGGGGTTAGGCGGGGGGGTTGTCATGGGAGGGAATGCGTACACGTCACGTGACTATTTCTCAGGAGGAGCGCTTATACTTCTTTGGTTGTGATTATTATATTTTATTTATTATTTATTAGCCACAATAAATCCTCTTAAGACAACAGTAGGTTCGAGGGGAAGAGTTAATACAGTATAACCCAGAGGAAGCCTTTTACACTCTTACCAAGACTTCCACACTCTCCTGAAATCCCCGCTATTGCTTTTCTGTCTTTTAGCACTCTGGTCCGTCCCTTATTTCTCAGCCTCGAGGAGCAGGCTGACCAGAACCCAACCGGACAGATCTGCCAAAACCGCCCGTAGGCAGTGGAAGGGCCCAGGGCAACTCACCAGCCGCCGCCTCTCTTCCGCTCTCGGGTCCGGATTTCTCCATGGTGAGGCTCTTATCGGTCTTTTCCGAAAGAAAAGCTCGCCGGGGGAAGATGTGCCTGCCTATAGTTCTTCGCTTCGAAAGCGTTTCCCAAAGAACTGGCTCCAGACTTTCCCCGTCTTCCTTTTCCCCCCTTCCTTCCTTTCTCTCCCTTTCTCTGGAGCAGCCCACATTATTGCTCCCTTCTCCAGGCTGGGTCATCCCCCAGAGTGATTATTTGCCACTTCGGATTTGTTAAGCAATGCATCAATGTAAGTGCTTCTTAAGGGCCTGCTGCGGTCACCCGCATTTCACCGCCCACCACTAGAAGAGCCAAGGCTCGGGCTAGAAAGAGCCTGGAAGCCTGGAGTCTGGAGGGAACCAGGGGGGCCACGCGTCTCCTCGGAAGAGCTTTGGCTCCGGGCCTGGCTTCTGAGAGAGGCTGGGCTGGGGTCTCCCCTGCTCTTGGTGGCCCTTCCGCGGCAGCCTTGCCTTCTACTTCCCAACACCCGCCCCCAGCTCTCCATTTGTCCTTATTGCCAATAATAGCGCTTAGTAAAAGGTGGGGGGAAAGGCGGACTCCAACTCCCATCCACCCCAGCCAGCGGGACCCACAGGCAGGACTGATGAGGGGATGTGTAGTATCCCGGCTACATCTGGAGGGCCATACGATCCTTGCCCTTGTCACAGAAGCCACTGCCTGGCAGACACCAGAAGCAGGGAGGAAGGACAGTGGAGGAGACCCAGAGCTTGCCGGACCTCGGATGCACCCACCATTCCGGCACCCTGAGTGGTTAGGGGGGTTAGCGCTGTAAGCCGTGTAAACGGTCTTTCGTGTGTTCTGTAAAAGAGGAGGCTAATTGCACTGCGAGCGCGAGGCTTTCCCCGCTGGATCCACAGGCCTGGTGATGCGCTAAGCGCGCTCCGCGTTTGATCCTGGCTGGTGGGTTGGATCTTGCTGCGAGCTGATCTTGGGGAGGGCGCCCCTTGCCGTAGCCAGAGGAAGTGGCCTAACTTCGTGGAACAATTAAAACGGCGGTTTTTGTTTTGTTTGGTTGGGTTTCTTTGGAGTGGAAATTAAAGAACGTGCCTGTCCCTCCTCCCCGTTTCCCACAGTCGGGCTGATTCCAGGTGGTTTTTTTTTCGGATTTTTTTTTTTTTCTAAGGGAAACCTTTCCAAGAAGGGCGCTCCCCCCGCCGCCCCCACTTCCTCTCGCAGCCCTCCTCTTGACACAGCATTCAGGTCACCCTGCGCGCCCGACGGCGCTCTCCTTGCGGCTTGTTTATTCAACCTGACGCCATGATCGATGGCATCCCGGAGCGCCTTTGCGCGCGCCACTGGCCGGGCCTCGGCGTCCCTTCCGCGGCGCTGCTCGGCGCTCCGTGACTATATTAGGTGGGCCCGGGACGCGGCCCGGCGCCGGCCAATGGGAGAGGTGTCCCTGCGCCTCGCTCCGCCTCCGTCCCTGCCTCCCGAGTGTCCAAGCTGCGGCTGGCCGCGCCGGCCCTGCTGTGCGCGCTTTGGAGACGAGGCTCAGCGGACGCCGGGGGCACCTGCTCTGCGCTGGCAGGACGCTGCGCTCGGGCACAGACGCCGGCGCCCGCGATGTTCCCGAGCCCGGTGACCACGACGCCTTTCTCGGTCAAGGATATCCTGAGTCTGGAGCAACATCCCAGCGGCTTGGCGCCCATGGAGCTCTCGGCTCTGGGCTCGCCCTCGTCGTGCATGCTAGCCACCTTCAAGCAGGAGGCGTATCCGGCCGACGAAGGCCCGATCGCGGACAGCCCCGTCGGCCTCGCCAAAAGCAACGGCGCCGCTTTCCCCAGCCCCTTTTACGCGGCCAAAAACTACGTGGAAATGGACTCGACCAAGGCGCCCAAAGGGGACAACAAGAAAGGTAAAAGCAAGGGCCCGTCGGGGACACGGAGAGGGTCCCTTCTGCGGCGACCGAAGCGCCATCTCTCTCTTGAGCAGGGCAGGCTGGGAGGGGGGCAATATTTGGGGTAGAGGGGGAGACCTCTGGCCGGGCTAGGGTGCTCCGAGGCAGCTGGAGCTGGAAGCGGCTCCTTGGTTCCTGGATCTCCCGCCGACTCGAGTTAAGCAAAACCACCGACGGCCCAGAGGAAGGAAGGAAGTCTCCGAGGGCCCAGGGAGTGTGCGGTCAGTCCCGCTCCACGTATGCACAGCCGCCCGGAGTATTTTCTGAAGGAAACCAGCTGGATTGTCGCCTTCATGTCGACAGGCTTGCAGCTTGTCGGCTGGAAACGGCAGTAGCAGTGCGTCGTCTTATTTACGAACCATCCCTCTTTGTCATTTGCTGGAGGAGCGGGATGGTTCTCCATCCTCGCGTCTCCTAAAGGAGAGGGATTCAGGTAGAGTCGGCTGTGCTGACTGCTAGTTGGCGATCCCTTTGCGGGCAGACGGGGTGTTGTGCTGGAGTCGGACCTTCCCTTGGGCAGGTGACTCCTCTTAGTCTAAGATGGACATTTGCTGTACATTTTCCTGCAGATGTCTTCCTCCTGATAAACCATTTTTTCTTATTATTGACGAGGATGGGGATAAGCTTTTTACAGAGCGTTTTGTGATTGTCCAAGGCGTATGACAACCATTATCTTCTTGTGAGGATCACAAGCCTTTAGTCCACTGCAGATAAGGAAAGAAAGAAATTATCTTGCCTAGGGTCATGGCAGGGATGAGCCTGGGCACTTCCTGGTTCTTAGCTCGTAGCCCGGTCAAATCCACATCTACTCAAGTAACTGCAGAGGTACTTACACCAAGGCAGATGTGCAGAAAGTTGCAGTCGATGTTCTGCAGCTGGACTCCAGCTAAGAGTCCGAACTCTTTTTTTCTCGCGCGCCGAATTTCGGTAACAAATGAGCGGGGAGGTAGCACTGAGAATAGGATTACTATCCATTACATTATTGTTGTTGTCAACAATCATTTTGTAAAATTTAAAATATGTATAAGATGTATAAAAACTATAATTCGTATTAAACATGCTCGTATTTAAATTTAGTATTTACATTTAAATTGATATAGTTCGAAATTATTATTATTAGCAGCAGCTGTAGTCACACCCGTTGCTCAGCTGTCCCTTTGATGTAGGCTGAGAGGCCTCAGAACTCCTCAAAAGGCGCAATCCGCAAACTCACTCTAAGGAAACTTCCTCTAAAAGTGTCTGGCGTTGGTAAGACAATTTGAGATTCTTAAAATATTCATTGATAAATCGAGGAGCACAATTCAACACTACGATCCTTCCCAGAAGGAATAGACTCCAACCATCTCAATTGGATTTATTTTCAAACAGAAGTAGTAGTTCTAGTAGTAGTAATTTAACTTCTGCTCAGGAGTTTGATAAACACGCACAAGAGTTAAGTTCCATCGAATGCACTTTTTCGCTGGTCCTTTAGGAAGTCATGTTTACATTAATTGCAGTAATAATTTCTTAGTAAGCCTTCGGAATATTAACGTTTCAAAAGTTGTCTTTGGAAGTTTAATCCCCCCCCCCATGAGGTTGCCATCCTATGCACACTTAATTGGCCTCAAGTTCCGCTGGACCTCTTGAGGCTCACCGGTTCTAAGTAAGCATGCACTGGATTGCTCTGTAAGATTTCCAATTCATTGGGTGGAAATTGACGGAAAGGATCAGCTCCCTGTGTGAATCGCACTTTAATCAACTCTCTAGTGGAGGATGTCCCTGCTTTTTTTGCAATCACGAGTTCATTTCCATTTCCTTAGGAATCTTCCCAGATAGAACATCAGACCGATTGAGCTTTGATGTGTTCATACTTTGAGCAGCACATTTCCTGGGAATCTCCGGCTCGGATTTTGGGTTCCTAAACTAGTTAACATTAGTCCTAAGTAAATGGCGTAGAAATAAATGGCACTGACTTGAAAATGGCTTGTATAAATTGTAGATAGATAGATAGATAGATAGATACTCTATCTCTCTATCTACCTCTTTGTGTGTAGGTAAATGTGTGTGTGTAGTACTGAAGTGCAGATAAAATCCACATTAACTGTTCGAGAAAAGAGCTTGAATGGGACTCATCAGTGTCTGTGGTTTCTTCACTCTGGAGGAAAATGTGACGCTACCTGAGGTCGCTTCTAGATGGCCTATTTATTGAGCATTCGTCCTGCACAAAGTTTGCGGGGGTGGCTATGGCTTCTACTTTTTGATAACCTATTATGATTTGTTTGAGGGGCTGTTATACAACCTCGTGTGAACAATTGTTATCCCACACTTCCAGTACATTTTCTGGCAATTTCCTTACCGCAAAAACTCCGATTATGTTTTTATTTTGGGGGGGGGGGGAGTGGTTTGTTGCGCAGCAGTTCCAAATTTACTTCAGTTGCTTAACCTGAGTTTACCCGTCTGCGGCTGATTTCCACCCACCCGCAAATAGAGACAGTGAATCACATTCGAAGCACGTTGTTCCCTCAAAGAATTCTGGACAATGGAGTTTAAGGGCTGCTGTGAATTGTATTCCGTGAGGGGCAAACTACAGTGCCCAGAATTCTTTGAGGCAACGAATGTACTTCAAAGGTACATTGTGCACGCAATGAGGTATTGAGGTCTACCCAGCTGGGCGTGATTTAGCCACAATTAAGATTTCCGAAATCTGATAATATATATACGTGCTCAGAAGCAAGCCCTGTTGATTTCAATGAAGCTATTTTCAATAAAGATAGTTTAGGATTCATCCTTTAAGTCCTATAGATTTGTAATGAGTAAAAAAACCTATGGACAAATAATTAAATTTAAGTTTTTAACGTGTTCATTTTAAATTGGCCAGGTCTTCCGCACGTTTACTTTGAAGCGCCCTACTGATTTCAGAAGGAGGTTGTCCCAAATAAAGTGTGCAAAAAATGAATAAAAGGTAAAAATTCAACGTACTGAAACAGTGACCAGATTTTGCCCATTATATGCAGTTCCACGATCTTGGGATCCCGCTGATTTCAGTGGGACAATTTTTGGGAGTGCCTAAGTCATATGCCTACATCCAGTCTTTAAATTTCCAAAAAGAAATAATTCCGGTATCATTTTAATCGCTTTGAACTGAATTTGTACCTTGAATATTAAAATTGAACTAATTAAGATGAAGGGCAGTGCTGTATTTGAATAATTTAAAAATGTAACAACAGGAGCAACCACCTAGTCCGCAGAGTAAGGCCTTCAAATCTAGATTTCTTTGGAAGAAACAAAGCGCACCTAAGAATATAGCTCTGCTTGGAAAAAAGGCAAACGAAAACAGAGGCTTTGCTCCATTTCTGCGGAAGCAAATCATTGGAGTTCAGCAGTATTTCCAAGTAAGATGAGTTGACTTCTGAATAAACACGAGTGGGGTGACTTGTGAAATCTGTTTGGGATCGACTTCTACTCCCGCTGAACTAAAGGGGTGAACTTTTCCGCGGATACAATTTAGCCAATGTTCAGCAATTTTGTATCCCAGGGTTTAATTTTAGCTGGATTTGAGCCCCCAAATGTAGGCTTGATCTGTTGCATTAATTTTAATTGGCCGCATTCGTTTTAGAATTCTATACCGCAACTATCTATAGAGAAAGAGAACTGGGACTTTAGCACCCCTGAACATGGCAATCGATGTTGTGGTGTAAATGGATGTGTTTATCGGGCTACAGAATGGAGACACAGAACGTTATTTTAACACCCAGAGCCTTTGGGGAGAAGGGTTGGTTCAATGAGATTTACTCCCTAGTTTATATAGGGCTGCAGTTTTAGGGCGCAATGCTTTGAATGTTTTTTTGGGTGGTGGAATAAATTGCACTGAGCGCTGCTGAACTTACTAATGAGTAAGCATCCAGAGGATTCAGTCATTTGCTTCGAAAGCTTGGGGGCGGGGACGGGACTCAGGTGGGCAGTAGCGTCAGTGAAAAGCGTTTTGAGACCTTAGCTTTGGAGGGTGGAATCCATTTTAGAAATGGTATTGGAAGCAAATCCTATTGATTTCTATGGAGCGCAGTATTTAGCCTGACCTCCCAAACACAGATCACAATCCAACTCAGAGGGCCGATTCTCTGTGCTGGAGGCTGGTAGCCAGTACTTTTCCCCACCCCAGAGGCACCGTCGTAAAATGGTTAGAGCGCAGGGCTAATTTAGAAGAGGGCTCCACTGGGATCCCCACTTGGTCCTGCTCACTTGCGTCAGTCTCGCCTGCTTCACGGCATAGCTGTCAACGTTTCCCTTTTTTAAAGGGAAATTCCCATATTCCGAATAGGATTCCGCGCAAGAAAAGGGAAAAGTTGACAGCTATGCTTCACGGGGTTTTTGCTTGGGAGGTCAAAATGGGTGGAAGATCAATGTGGAGGCTGCCCTGAGCTCTTTGGAGAATGCAAAGGAAGGACCTATACAGGCAATCAAATGAATGAGGCTTAATGTAAGAGATCAATATAAAGGGATCGGAGCTTCCGGTTGAAATCCTCAGTCCAACCAAAATAATAGAATCATAGAATTCTAAAGTTGAGAAAGGACCCCGAGGGTCATCTGGCTCAATTCCCTGCTATGCAGGAATCTCAACCAAATCCAGAGGACTAGTGACTTGGAAATGTCGAATACTGTATATGACAAGCAAGCGCCAGGCTCTGACTGCCCCTCTGGGCTTCTTTCTCCTTGATTCTCCGCAGAGCTGTGCGCCCTCCAGAAATCCCTGGAGCAGGAGAAGCGGGACGCCGAGGATCCGGAGCGACCCCGGCAGAGGAAGCGGCGGAAACCCCGCGTGCTTTTCTCGCAGGCGCAAGTCTACGAGCTGGAGCGGCGCTTCAAGCAGCAGAAATACCTCTCTGCTCCGGAGAGAGACCACTTGGCCAACGTGCTGAAGCTCACCTCCACGCAGGTCAAGATCTGGTTCCAGAACCGGCGGTACAAATGCAAACGGCAGAGGCAGGACCAGAGCTTGGAGATGGTGGGCATCCCTCCTCCGCGGAGGATCGCCGTGCCAGTCCTGGTCCGGGACGGCAAGCCTTGCCTGGGGGACTCGTCGCCCTACAGCTCCCCCTACAACGTCAGCCTCAACCCCTACAGCTACAACTCCTACCCGGCCTACAGCAACTACAGCGGCGCCGCCTGCAGCGCCAGCTACAGCTGCAGCTACCCGGGCGTGCAAGGCGTGCAGCCCGCGGCGCCCGGCGGCAACTTCATGAACTTCAGCGTGGGGGACTTGAACCCAGTGCAGACGCCCATCCCGCAAGGGAACAGCGCCCTCTCCACGTTGCACGGCATCCGGGCCTGGTAGGCCTCCCAAGGCTCCCTCCCTCCTTGCGGCGGGGGCTGAGTGCTTGGGGGGGAAGACTTTTCCTGGACGGACTCCAAAGCGGGCATTAAAAGCGGCCGGGCTGGACCTCCTGCTGGAGAGAGGCGGTCTGTCAACAGGGATCACTCTGGGCTCAAGGATCCGGGGGCGCGAGGGAGCGCATCCCCCCACCGCACCGCCCAGGTTTGGGGTTCTTTCGGGGTGGGCGCACAGAGGCTCCCAAGGCGCCTCCCAGCACTCGCTCATTCGCCCAAGGGAAGATCTTGTCTACATTGCTGGACACATTTTCTGCCCCGCCAGCCAACTTCTGCTCTAGGCCAGGATTGCGCGCGCTGCGCTGGGCTTTTTTATGGTTCAAACTACAGGGAGCAGCTTGCTCTGCAGATCGCAACCTTACAGCCAAGTTAAGAGACGGGCGCGAATCCACTGGGCTCTCTTTTTGGATCCAACTAGAACATGACTTTCCAAGGGGGGTTGGCGTTTTCAGGGGGGCGGGTCTTGTTTACTAACAGATATACTCCCACTCGCGCTCTCTTATCTGTTTCCTTTTATTCTCAACACGTCCAGAATCCTTTTCCTATACAGTATTTAAAAGCTCGATGTCAGGATCTTCAAGGGTTGCTCAAGTTGGCTGCGAGCTCAGGTTTTGAAACAAGATTTCTCTTGCTAGGTTGTTCCGGTATAGCTGGGGCTATGTTGTTTTGTTTTTAACTTGGACACGTCCGGCCTTTCCTTCTCCAGGACCTTGCGTGGGAATATGTGTGTGTGTGCGTGCGCGTGTTGGGCAAGGGGGCGGAGTGGAGTAAAGACTTCCGCACTATAGCCGAGGCCCCACCAGAATGAAGGAAGTCAGACGCTGTTTTCGTTCCAGATCCCCATTTAGTTGTTATGCACTAAAACAAGTGATTGATTTTGATAGTATTAAATGCACTGTCTGTTCTTTGTCCAGCCGCTTGGTTTGATGTACGTGGTCTCCCCCATCCCCCCCTTTTTTTGCTGTACAGCCCGATACAACTGAGTGTCTTGTCATTAAAGAGAGTGGCTTGAGTTTGTGGGTCGTATTTGCTTTCTTTCCTGCAACCGAGAATTTTATGGCTTCCCTTTAATAGGGGTCGCGCGGGGCTAGCGATTCTCTCTTGCCTGATCCCACGGTCAAAACGAAGCACTTCCTTTTAAATCTAAAAGGAGTCCGTGCCACTGAGCGGCGGGCGCAACCGAGCCAAAACCAGGCACTTTGAAAATTGGGAGAGATTCACAGGGCAATTCGATGCATGCTCCTACATGTATACACACAATAGAAATATCATCGAATTCAATGGTACTTACTCCTAGGGAATTGTGTCGAGGGTTGCAACTTCAAGCTTGTTTGTTTTCTACGTGTAATTTGCCTATCTATTTATCTGGATTTCTAAGTAGTCTACTGTGAAATAAAGTGAAAACAAAAATAGAAGCTTAATTTTTCCGACTCTGGTTGGATCTCATCCTTTATTCGAAACTCAGAGCCATAACCACGTTTACTTAGAAGTAAGTCTCGTTCGTGGTTAGCAAGTATGCTTACTATTCCAATCTTAGTATTATTTAGTATTATCTTAGTATTTTGTACAACCTTCTGCTCCACACGTCTCCACTAAGAACGAAGGAGCTTTATGCCGAGTTCAATGGGGGTTTTACTTCTCAGCACCGTCGTTTGGAATGCGCAGCCCCATCCCGCGTGCGTTCACCTGGAAGCCAGGCATCCTATGCTCAATCTGTATCCCTCCAGGTGTTGCCGGACTCCAACTCCCATCAGCCCCGCCCCCAGTCAGCACGGCCAATCGCCAAGGCGGATAGGCAGTCTAGTTCAGTGGCTCCCTATTAGCTACGAACCCCGTTTTTCAAAAGCCAAGCCGCGGACCCCCTACTTTTGAAAATGTGGTGGTTTTGTTGTGTGAATGGTGCCACAAACCCCGTGGGGTCCCACCAATTGGGAACCACTGGCCTAATCCAACAACGCCTGAAAGGTCTTAGATTCTCCGCCACCGTCCACGCCCCCTCCAGTATGCGGGTGACTTGAATAAAATATTGGGGGAGGCCGGGTAAGCGCCGCCCGGTATGATCGATCACATAATGCGGCACACGCACACCATTTGAATGGCAATGCCCATCAACTTGGGGGGGGGGCTCAAATATTTTATGGGGGGGGCAAAGGGACCTCGGCCCCTAGGAGTTGGCTCCCTTGACCACCCAAATCGCATCCAGACCAACTGGGCTTCTGAGTGGACGTGTTTGGGAAATGGGAAGATGAACTTCAACGCCAGCGGGTGGAGAGGAGTCGCCCGGTTCAGTCAGGCCTGGCAGGGAAAAGGCCAAGCACCCTTGGGAGCTCTGGGATGATTTTCTCCCTGTTGAACACGCGGAGTCGAAAAATCTAAGGGATACCATTGCCTCTTGCCAAGCCTTAGGTCCTGCTTCCTGGCTTTCCCAGTCCATTTCCACACCTACACTTTGCTGCTTAGGTAAGGAAGCCCCATCCGAATGAAAACCGGAAAGCACGTCCAGTTAGACTTGCTGCGGACAAGGAGCGCCTGCGGGGAGTAGCAGGTCCAGGTGCGTAGGAAGTGCCAGAACAATCCGCTGTGCATTAGAAAATGGCTCACTGCGGAGACACACCAGCCATTTAGCTACCCAACTGCAGACAGGTGACACCATCCCATCCTAATAGAGGAGACCACTATTCTAGCGGGCAGCGGGTATATTTTCCCAGGGCGTGTGGCACACCCACCCAACTTCATTTTCTATGCGTGCAAAACGCCGGGCAGCTTACTTTCGGATCTACGTTCTCTTTACATTGAAAAGAGCGCCCTTGTCACAGGTGCTTCTTAATGTGTTTCGTTTTACTAGGATCTGAGGGCAATTGGCTTTTAGTGCCCCATTAGGACGTCCTAAAATTAAATAGCACGTCCACTCTCTGATAGTAAGAGCTGTTCGACCTTCCCTCGGAAAGCGGTGGACTCTCTCCTTCCTTGGGGGTGTTAAAGTAGAAGTTGGGTGGCCATCTGTCTTGGATGCTTTAGTTGAGATTCCTGCATTGCAGCGGGTTGGGCTAGATGGCCCTGGAGGTCCCTTCCAACTCGACAATTCTATGATTCTATGAGTACAGCAGTGCCCCATCATCATTTGCGCTCACTGGATTTGAGGAGGCTCTTGCTTCAATGCGCTTAAGCCACAAACTGTTTAGGAGGGAGCTGGGCTAACCTATGGCCTTCCAGATGTGGTTGAGCTTCAGCTCCCATCTGTACATCTAGCGTGGCTAATCGATGGCCAGAGATAATGAGAATTTAAGACGAGTAATGTCTGGCGAGCTATAGGCTCCCCATCCCTGGTTCAGAAGGCTAACGGCCTTTCCAAACGCCTCTCCCCCGGTTTTCTCCTCGGCAGGAACAACGACCACTCCAAATTCACCCAAAGAGCGCTAGAAAACTTGGAAGGCGGTCTCAGCACCCCGCGTGGAGCTCTCTGCTCAAGATTAAGAGCCCCTTCCACCCAGTTTTGTGCGCGCCATCAAGGCCACCTTAGCCCACTTCCCCCTAAACACACGCGCACGCGCGCTTATCAAAGGCCCCCAGGACGATTTCCTGTCTTCGCAACGAGGACTGTCTTCAGCAGGGAGAGGGCGATTGTGGAGGGGGCTGGGAGGAAGAAGTGCTGCTGGTGGGTCTGAGTTTGGCGACCTGGCGCTGTGACTACTCAGCCCCTTATCGGATGTCCCTAATCGGAGTGAGGAACAACAAACAGGGGAATGAGGCGCAGTCAAAACATCCTGGGGGCTGGGGGCGGAGGGGCATTGTGCCGCGGTGGAGAATGCCATTAGGGGAAGGAGGGGACCTCTCCGGAGTCCCCTATCGGACCCATCAGTAAACAAGGATGGAGACAAGAAGCAGCCAGGGAGGAGCAGGGCGAGGAGAGAGGGCGGCCAGCAGCCGAGGGCCATCGCTCAGAGAGGGCCACGCCTCCTTTTCCCTGCGCAGTTTAGGTTGGAAGGTACACAAACACACCCACCGAAAATGCAGCTCACAGGAACCCTTGAGCCCAATGTGTCCCCCTTGGAATCAGTTTATCTCCATGGTTGTAGGAGTGTGTGTGTTTACAAGTACGAATAAAATTTTCAGCATCTGTGGGCCTAATTCTTCTCCCTCCCTTCTGCCCCGCACGCAAAAAGAGATGCTTTGGCTGCTTTGTTGGTGACTGGCGGAAGGATTGGTGAAGATCCAGCTGAAATCGCAAAACACTAGGTAGGGCGTTGTGATTCCCCGCTTGGGCGTAAATAAATAAAAATACTTAATTAACTGACCAATTGCGTGGAAGATAATTGCCCCCTAAAATAAATCCTGGTTACGCCCATATCCCGCATGTTGACGCGCGTCTGCCTGTACCTTTAATGGCTCGTCGCTTGATGGCTTACCGGCGGGAAAGGCGTGAGCTGTTTCCGTCGACTGGCGTTGCCATCGAGGCGGCCTTTAAAGTTCCTGTTTGATTTGGGACGATTCCTTTCGACACACCTTGAGGATACAGCTCGGGAATAATGAGCAGGCGTGCCTAAATCACAGAACCGGGGTTGGGGCGACGAGGCCAGGGGCACGTGGGGAATTCTCCTGGTGCCCACCAGGGCCTCTGATTTCCCACCCCCCACTGCCCCTTTCAGGGTTGTGAAGGTGCATATCCCCCCCCCAAAAAAAAATTACATAGAGGTGAAATAAGAACTAGGAGAGCAACACCTGACACCACACCTGATAACATGAAAGGCTTCAAGCAAGGGGCTGGTAGGAGTGGTTTGTGGGATATTTAAATGCAAAGGTAAAGGGACCCCTGACCATTAGGTCCAGTCGACTCTGGGGTTGCGGCGCTCATCTTGCTTTATGGGCCAAGGGAGCCAGCGTACAGCTTCCGGGTCATGTGGCCAGCATGTCTAAGCCACTTCTGGAGAAACCAGAGCAGCACACAGAAACGCTGTTTACCTTCCCGCCAGAGCGGTACCTATTTATCTACTTGCACTTCGACGTGATTTTGAATTGCTAGGTTGGCAGGAGCTGCGACTGAGAAACGGGAGCTCACCCTGTCGCGGGGCTTCAAACCACCGACCTTCTGATCGGCAAGTCCTAGGCTCTGTGGTTTAACCCACAGCGCCACCCATGCAGTTAAACTAACAACTATTGTTTGCTAGAAAGGCACACACAGAGGAAGTTGGATCTCACAGGGTCTACAGGAAATCGCACCAGTGAGAGCCCCTCCCACTGTGTCCAGCCAGCCAGGTAAAAGGGGCACCACCTATATAAGCTGGTCAGGTCAGGCCTGCTTTCTCTCTGCTTCCTGATATCCAGTCTCTCTCATCTCTTCTCTTCAGCGTCTCATCAGTGACTAGGGACATAAGCCCAGACTCCATGTTAATCTAAACTACAATATATGTCTGTGACTACCTTTTAAGCCTGCCTCAAGACTGCTACTGTGAAATGCGAGTGAGTAAATTTATCTTTACTTCTAAGAAGACTGTTTTGCATGTATATTGTTTTAAGAGAGGAAAGTGGAAATTGCCAGGAAATCCAGTCTGCAGTAAAGCATCCTGATTACTTAAATTGAAAGGCTGATCAACAGCTTCCTTATTTTTGCTGCAAAGGTAGATGTATTCCGCTGAATTCACAAACCCAAGGAAGGATAACATCTCACAAATATATCCTCTGCTAGATTCTGTACACAGCCTGACATGGTTTGCGAGGAATGGCCTGGTGGACCAGCAGTGGGCCATAGTTGGGCTTTAGCTCTGTGGTAAAGCATGTGTGTTGCCTGCATGCAACAGCTCCCTGGTTCAATCCCTGGTACCTTCAGGTAGGGATGTGAAAGACTCCTGACTAAGACTCTGCCTGTGAATGTCAACCATTCTGACCTAGATGAACCCATGGGTCTGACACTGCAGCTTCCTATGTTCCTATGGATTTGCCCCAGCAAAGGTATATGTCTCACAATTCTGCCCCACAACTCCACATTCCTTTGGTAAGAGGTGGGGAGAGAAGGGGCAGAGGAATATGCTGGGTTCGATGTAGCTTTATGTCACTGAATATAGTGGGAATGTGTATCCGCGCATTTCCATTAAGTCCAATAGGACCCCTGTTAATCTTGTTCCTGAGATGTGGGCTATGCATTCAGCCACAGCTCCATCAGAGTATTTCCTGAGTGGGAAATGGAAGCTATGAAGAGTGAAGTGCACTTCAGCTGGTGCAGAGAATATGTCCGAGGTGAGCTCTGGACCAGCTGTAGGTGGAGAATTTGTGCTATGTTAAAGCTAGTCAGCAGAGGAAGAGAAAACGAGAAAACACGGAGGACTGAAAATCCTAATAAATTGAAACTTAGTGAAGATGCGCAGCATATT